CCCAGGCCGCCATCCTCACCGATCCGCTCCGGCTCGTCCGAGGTGGTGCCGGCGATGCCGCTGCTCTCCAGCCCGAACGCGGGGTCGGCCTTGCCCGTCACCTTGGCCGCCTCCTCCACCTTCCGCACGTGGGCCTCCACCAAGGCCGTGGGCACCTCCTCCTTCATCTTGGAGAACTCCTCTGTGGGGCAACGTGGGGGGGGAAGTCTCAGCACCGTGTCCTCCTCGGGGGACTTGTCCCCTCCCCTCATGGCTCTCATCCCACCTCTCCATAGGGTGCCCTGTAGGACTCACCCCATCGCCCCACGAGGGTCATCCCGCCTTCCCAGAGGAACCTCTACAGGAATCAATCTTCTCCCCATAGGGCTCTTCCACCTCCCCACAGGCCTCAGCCCATCCACCTATAGGGCTCATCCCATCTGTCTATAGGGCTCCTTCCAGCCCCCCCATAAGACTCATCCCGTTTCCCTCTTGGACTCATCCCAGTCCCCATATAAACTCCCTATAGGGCTCATCTTCTCCCCATATAGGACTCATCACACCTCCCTACAGGACCCCCTACAGGACTCCCTACAGGACTTCCCATCTAGGACTCCCTATAGGACTCATCTTAATCCCCCAAAAAACTCCCTACAGGACTCATCCCATCCCCATACAGGACCCCCTATAGGATTCATCCCATCCCCAAATAGGTCCCCCTGTAGGACTCATCCCATCCCTTAAAACTCCCTATAGGACTCATCCCATCAGCCTATAAAGTCTCTAGAGGACTCATCCCATCCTCATAGAAACTCCCTATAGGACTCAACCCAATCCCCCCCAAAAAAATCCTTAAAGGACTCATCCCATTCCTATATAGGACCCACTATAGGACTCATCCCACCCCCATATAAACTCCCTGTAGGACTCATCCCATCCCCTCAAACTCCCTACAGGACTCATCCCATCCCCATATAAACTCCCTATAGGACTCATCCCATCCCCTGAAACTCCCTACAGGACTCATCCCATCCCCATACAGGACCCCCTATAGGATTCATCCCATCCCCAAATAGGTCCCCCGATAGGACTCATCCCATCCTCATATAAACTCCCTATAGGACTTATCCCATCCCCATATAAACTCCCTATAGGACTCAACCCAATCCCCCCAAAAAAATCCTTATAGGACTCATCCCATTCCCATATAGGACCCCCTATAGGACTCATCCCACCCCCATATAAACTCCCTATAGGACTTATCCCACCCCCATATAAACTCCCTATAGGACTTATCCCAATCCCCCAAAAAACTCCCTATAGGACTCATCCCATCCCCTGAAACTCCCTACAGGACTCATCCCATTCCCATATAGGACCCCCTATAGGACTCATCCCACCCCCATGTAAACTCCCTATAGGACTCATCCCATCCCCTCAAACTCCCTACAGGACTCATCCCATCAGCCCATAAAATCTCTACAGGACTTATCCCATCCTCATAGAAACTCCCTATAGGACTTATCCCATCCCCATATAAACTCCCTATAGGACTCATCCCAGTCCCCCCAAAAAAATTCTTAAAGGACTCATCCCATCCCATATAGGACCCCCTATAGGACTCATCCCAATTCCCCCAAAAAAATTCTTATAGGACTCATCCCATTCCCATATAGGACCCCCTATAGGACTCATCCCACCCCCATATAAACTCCCTATAGGACTCATCCCAATCCCCCAAAAACTCCCTATGGGACTCATCCCATTCCCATATAGGACCCCCTATAGGACTCATCCCACCCCCATATAAACTCCCTATAGGACTCATCCCACCCCCATATAAACTCCCTATAGGACTTATCCCATCCCCATATAAACTCCCTATAGGACTCATCCCAATCCCCCAAAAACTCCCTATGGGACTCATCCCATTCCCATATAGGACCCCCTATAGGACTCATCCCACCCCCATATAAACTCCCTATAGGACTCATCCCACCCCCATATAAACTCCCTATAGGACTTATCCCATTCCCCTAAAAAACTCCCTATGGGACTCATCCCATTCCCATATAGGACCCCCTATAGGACTCGCTCCTCTCCCCACAGGCTCCATCCCCCCAGACCCCCCCGGGGTTGGACCCCCCATTACCCAGGGCCGACTTGGCGGCGGCGGAGGCGACGCGGGGGTCGACGACGGAGGCCAGGAAGGCCACGGTGCTCATGACGGGGTTGCCCGACTGGCTGAAGGGGATGGGCTGGTAGGCCAACGGGCCCAGCGAGGCCTCCGAGTCCTCCAGGTAAGGATCCTCGATGGGCAGCCTCAGGAAATGCAGGATGCACTCGTCCTGCGTCCGGCTGCCCACGTGCTCCGACACCTTGTTCCAGTCGTCCTTGTACATCTCCAGGGCCTGTGAGAGGGAGACGGGGTGGGGGGTGTCAGTGGGGTCTGGCTGCCCCCCTTTCTCCTCCTCCTCGTGGACCCCAGCTCACCTCCAGCAGCAGCAGCGTCTCCTGCTCCGTCCACTCCCGCGTGGCGCTGGCGGCGGCTTTGCTCTGCAAAAGTGGGGGGGGAAAAGAATCATAGAATGGTCCAGGTTGGAAGAGACCCTTGGGATCATGGAGTCCAACCATCTCCCCTACTCTACAAAGTCCTCCCCTACACCATGTCCCTCAGCACTGCATCTAAACGGCCCTTCAACACAGCCAGGGATGGGGACTCCACCCCCTCCCTGGGCAGCCTCTTCCAACGCCCGACCACTCTTTGGGGGAAAAATTCCTTCCTAATGTTCAATCTAAACCTCCCCTGTTGGAGCTTGAAGCCGTTCCCTCTCCTTCTGTCACTAATGACCTGGGAGAAGAGACCAGCACCAACCTCTCTACAGTGTCCTTTCACGGAGTTGTAGAGAGTGATGAGGTCTCCCCTCAGCCTCCTCTTCCTCACACTAAACAGCCCCAGCTCTTTCAATCACTCTTCATAAGATTTTATTCTCCAGCCCCCTCACCAGCTTCGTTGCCCT